AAAATCACTTTTTACGACATTTAGCACCGTGCCGGTTTTGTCGCAAAACTTCGACATGTCATAACTTCTTCATTATAACTCGGATTTTGGTATTATTTATATCCCCGAAATCCTTGTTTCGTGCACTACAAGTTTATGTAAAGATATCAGGCTTATCTCAAACTTTAATTTTGATGCTTATTTTTATTCTTAATTAAATAAACCCTAATAATTTAGCATAAAACACATAATTCACATAATATTCACATAATTCCTTTTGATTTCTTCAAAATGAGTTACAAAGGTTAACCCAGACTATAACTCAATATAAATGCCTAGGCTAGAAACACGAGTGTTACAAGTGGGTTAGATCTGATCCCACATCGGCTGGGAAGGAGAACTAAGCATTCCTTATAAGGGGTGTGGATACCTTCCCTATCACAACGCGTTTTAAAGCCGTGAGGGCAGCAGATCCCATAAGAACTCTGCAGTTAAGTGTGCTCGGGCGGGAGTAGTACCAGGATGGGTGACCCCCTGGGAAGTCCTCGTGCCGAGTGGCCCAAAGCGGACAATATTGTGATACGTGCTAGAGGGGATGTTACATCATGCTATCTTGTTATGAACTACACCCACTCATGAAACTTCCACCAACCCCATAGCCACTCGTGCATGCTAATCATACAAAATGCTAGATCCCATAGACTGTCTAATACTTGGCTCATCCCTAAGCCCTTAATCAAACATGAACATGAAATGTAGTTAAATCAAACATTCTTTGTGTATAGAATCTTTGTTCTGTACAACTATGGTACACACACTAAGTGACCACAATAATGATATGAATTTCGTGTAGAATATAAGAAGTCCTCATAGGCTATCAGGCATCATACAACAGGCAATTCAATCATGAAATTCCTAAAGATCTCTATGCTATCACTAGCATGCCGTTCTATCATATCACAAAAAATAATAGTATATGTAACTTCGGGTACGATTTCTTGTTCTGGCTGATCGGACACATCACATCCTTCCTTGGTTATTTTTAAAAACCATTTAAAAACTTTTGAAGTTCTCTGGTTTGAGTTTGGATTCACAAGAATGTTCATCAAATTCTCTCAAACCAAGGCTCTGATACCAACTTGTAACATAAAAAAAATCACAATAAATTTAAATTTTCAAAACAACCCATTTCTTCTATAAAGTGTTTAAAAAACTAATTTTTCAAAATTATTATTCAAAATCAGAGAATCCAAAGATCCAATGTCATAAAAATAGGAAGATGTGCACGATGACGCCATTGCTTTCCCATAATCCTCTACAGTACCTGAAACAATAAACTGAAACCGTAAGCACGAAGCCTAGTGAGTCTTCCTCAAAGTATCAACACATAATATAATAAGAACAACATGAAACTATGAGCCTTCATCCTCATTGGACCGCCTCATATGCGTTCAGTATATTCAGACCGCCCTGGGTATCTTGGCCTTCAGCATAAAGTAGGACTGCCTGAAACCAACAACCTATAACATCTCAATCTATACGATATAGTTAATAACTAGTGATCTAATAGATCACTACAAAATAGCAACATCCTATATACCAGGATACAAATCTAGCATATCACTACAACATAGCATCCTACATACCAGGATACAAATCTTAAAGATTATAAAAACATAGCAACATCCTGTAAAATAGGATACAAATCTAACATATCACTACAACATAGAAACATATGGTAAACCAAAATATCAAACCAAAAAGCCGACCATCGACCCATAGGTACAATGAGGAAAACTCACCTCTCAGCCTAAAAACAATCTGAATGAGTCTCTGCTTTGACAACTAGCTCTACAGGTCACCTATTCAACAGATAGAGATGAAGTCTCAACTATAGCTCGAATTACCCAAAATACCGTTAAGTAAAACTTGGTCAACCATGGTCAAAGTCAAAGTCAATAGTCAACGTCCAAATGTCAATATTCCCTGCATACCAAGAGAGTATGCCTAACATTCTGTGATGTTGACCAAAAGCAGGGAGCTAACCACGTACGTGCAACTTACCACTAGGTACGCCCAACGTACGCAACCTAGTACCCGAACTCCATTAAGAGCTTATTCCATTAAGCCCTTACATCTAAAACTCAGATCGAAGCCTAAAATGATGTCCTAAGTTATAAAGTTTCCAACTTTATGGCTTTGCATGGCTAAAAGTGCTCAGCACCAGAAACGTTATCCACTTAACCCATTAAGACATCACAACTCTTGCATGGAAGGGATAGAAGGGACAATATCATATTTTTATAGTTCATAAAATCTCCATAATGGATAAAGTATCCAAATTTATCAATTAGAATGGTCCTAACATATAAGATCTAGTCTTTAAGTCTCAAAGGGACCCAAAAGTGCATCTTTTGAACTTAATCCGTTAAGTCCAAGTCTCTAACCTTCAGATCTGAATCAAAATGTTGTTTAGATGGATAAAGTTTCCAAATTTATCCATAACAAGGTTACAAACTTTTAAGATCTAAACTTTATGCACTTAAAGTGACCAAAATCTCATAACACCCAAAACTAGCTAGATCTAACAATTTCATCATCATGATTGGAACTTTATACCTCTAGAAGAAAGATCAAGTTGAAAAAAAGTCTAAATCTACAAGGTCCAATGCAACCAACACTTCTTCAATGAGTTCCTCTTCTCTAAGGTGCACCAAGAACACTCCAATTCACTTAAAAGCACCTTCTTTTTGTTCACAACGCTCAATCTAGGGTTAGGGTTTTAGGAGAGGGTGTTGGAGAGGTATAGGCTAAGAATGGAATTGGTTTGGGGGAGTTAATGAGCTTAAATAGGTCTCAAACCTAAAAAATAGGGTTTAGGAATTGATGAATACGCCCAACGTACTTAATTTACACCCACCATATTAAGGATGTCTTGGTACGCCCAAGGTACGCGACTCAACCCAAAACCACCCTAACTTCAAACGGTCATAACTTCTTCGTTCTAACTCCATTTTTGACGTTCTTTATATCCACGAAAAGGTGTTGAAGAGATATACAATATTCTCTATATATCTTGGACTTAAAACACCTCGAACAAAAATCCAACTTTCATGCAAGGACCTGGCTTATGACTTTTCTTTTTCTACCCATCAGCCTATAACACAATTCAAGGGAAAAATCTCTTAGCTATCATTACCTCCTTCCATAATGACTAAACTTTGCCTCCTTAAGGCCCAAACCTTAGACAATCGACTTCCAGTCCATGGCTCAGAAATGGTAGTAAACAAGGTGTTACAATCTTCCCCTACTTAAATTAGATTTCATCCTCGAAATCAACTCTCGCTTCCGCTTCACGATGGAATCCCTAGTTAAAAACCCACAGATTTGTTCGACTCTAAACCTCCTCAGCCAGTCGTCATCATGTTAATCCCTCACATGAGTGCACCATTGCGACAAGAACCAACTGGAAAACAGAACGCGTAACTATTTACCGATATTGAAACCTTCATTAAAAAACAAGGCAACTCGTAATGTGAGTCTCATCTATATAACCGCTGCAGAGAAGCACGTACAACGCCAACTTATTCCACAACTTCCTAGCTATAAGACCAGACTTTTTGTAAGAACCACAGAGTCGAGGACTCTCAAAACTACAATCACCGAATAAACTCTATCAATATGCTTACCGAGATTGGAAACCCATCTGATCTAAACTTTAGAACCTATATTCTAGGACAGATATTCATCAGTTCGCTGAACCCACCCTTTGTCTTGGACTAAGAACTCAACCAAACATGCGAAATGAAGTACTCGAACACATCGATCACAAATTTCATCCAATTCCAAATTCATAAGATGTACCAAAAACCTTAAATAAACCCTTGACTCCTTGACACACCATTGCCAACAACTTCTCCTACGAGCAACGATGATCAATTCTAGAATTTTCACAATGCATCCAACTTTTATCAGCTCAGGTGTACCCCCAGCTTGCAAAATCACTTGAGACATTCACAATGAACTTCATGATTCAAGACTACCTAACCGATACCTAACCTTGGTTACCAAAACCCTTATAAAACCTTGTAAACAAACGGGATTTATAATGCAAACACTCTGCAAGAGACTTTTTGATGCATAAGTGATACATCTAACAACCTTAACTGCTCATTTTATCTAAACCAGCTATTTGTGAGTTTCCCGACTTCCAACAATGCACCAACACCATAAGTACCACAAGTAGAAAAAATAAACAATAATGATCATTAGGCCCACAACCTATAAATGGAATGCTCTTGGTATTACACCAATCTTGTTGACATTCCCTCATTTGCCTGGAAACACACAGCCAGCACTACGGGGCCTAAATATACTCAACCTCATTCCACCGCCTTGTAGGAACCCAATCAAAGTCCCTCTCAACGCTAACCACTACTAGAAAAACAGCCTTTTACGACGCTCATTGCGCGTCGTAAAAGGCACAGACGACGCGCAAATGCGCGTCAAGGAAGGCCCTGTCATAAAGAGAGACGACGCGCATTTACGACGCTCATTTACGACGCGCATTTACGAAACGCATTTATGACACGCAATGCGTATCAAGGAAGGCCCTGTCATAAAGGAAGACGATACGCATTCACATGTCATAACCTTACGATGCGCGTGTTAATGACACGCAATGCGTATCAAGAAAGCCCCCGTCAAGAAAGGCCATGTCATAAATGAAGACGATACACATTTTTGCGTATCATAATTTTAAATGTTTAGAAAAAATATTATTTATAGATTTACTTATTTTCAAATTAAATTTGTATTTAATGTTTCATTATAGAAAATAAAATATCATAGAGAAAAAATAGAATCCATTGCATAAATTTAATGTCATACAAATAATCGTTCCATGGAAAGATAAAACAAATCAATAGAAGTTTTAACAAAAATTTACAAACAAATTAGATGACCACTCCCTCTTTCTACCCCTTGACTCACTTCTCACCCTTTACACTGCTTTTGATGGATCAAGCCCTAATGATGACCATTTCTCTCAGATGTAAATCTCTTGTCTTATCAAATTTTCTTGGAACAATTGGTCTGCTTTCAGCTGTGCTTTTCTTGATTCTATGTTCACGAATTAATATACTTTTCTTTTTCCTGATTTCGTTAAGCTCTTTCTGTTGTTCTAGAGTCAAATCCTTACCTTCCATGGTCAACAACACTTGTTGACCTTCTACAACAAAATTCTTCATTGCTTCTGACTTCATATCTTCAAGTAACTTCTTATGATCAACAGGTTCATTTCAGTTTCAAATATAAACAGGTAAATTAAGAAGTGATCTCATCAGAAGCCCTCTTAGCAGAAACCCTACCATCTGTAGCTCTTTATGGGTCCCTAGGGAGAAAATGGTAATGTTTCATTCCCAAAAATATATAAATACTAATCCCATGAATGCGAGCATAAAAAACAAGTATGTGTAACAAAAAAAAGTTAAATACCTCTTTCTTGAACCCTCATTTGTGCCTGCACCCTTTGCATTCTTTGAAGTTGTTCCAGACTTTGTTGTTGCTTAAGGAGAAGTGATCTAATCAGTATGTTCACTTGATCAGTCTTTATAAGCTGATTTTCTGAAAAAAGAAATCTTTATAAGTTATTTGAAATTTTTGTCATGTAATTCACATATAATAAAGATAATTTTGTTAAAGATGACCTCTCGGTGTTGTGTCATGATCAGTGATGATACATTGCTACTTCTTTCATTCAATCCAAAGCATTATTAGGGAAACCAGAGATCAAAATCCAGCATTCAACTACACAGAAACTGCTCAAAATGAAGCACGTATGCACAGAAAATGAGAACAAAATTAAATTAAATTAAATTAAATTAAAAAAAAGTGAAATACCAATGAAATTGTATGTCACTAATACCTTGTGTGTCTGTAAAATAAGATCATTCACAGTCAACCAGCTGTCTCTCCATAAACTGAAATACAATGAACACTTTATTCTCAATGTTTAAAAACTTAAAGATCCTTCATGCTGTGTATGCATGTGTTTGTGTGTGTGTGTGAGAGAGAGAGAGAGAGAAAGAGAAAGAGAAGACCAAAATACCTTGGATAAAGAACATAACCATGCCCATTCCTCTTTCACATACCTTGTAATCATCTCTCTTTTCTTTTTCTACATTTGTTTGTTTGTTTGTACTTTGTACATAAATTTGACTTCAAGGTGGTCAATAAGATGTGTGGGTGGGGTTTCCACACAGCAGTGCAGTAGGAACTCAAAACATACCCTCGGGAAATAAAAACATCTACAGCAAAAACATCCTTCCTTCCTTCTGTGTGCAGATTTAGATTGACCGCCACATACTTTGTTTTGATATTGTTAGCAGCAGCTAGTATCGTCTACTCAGATTGTCCCTGGTGTAGAAAGGATGTCTTAATGCTGCACGTGTTGTTACCTTCTCTAATGGAGCATATCTTAATATCCCTTGAAACAGATGAATCAAATCCCCTGCTAAATGCTCTACATGCTGCATTATCAAATTCTGCATCATCCACATCACACACACAACTAACTTAGAATCCCATTATTCACCAAAAAACAGATGAGAAAGGATCTATATGAATTATTATATAATGATAACCTCTTTTTGTCGACTTGATGCTACTCATTCTAGCTCATGTAGACGAGCCTTGGCCAATGGTAGTTCTTGATATGTCATGGTTTTCCAATCTGCTTTCATGTCTTTCAAAGGGACTCGGTCATGAGGTCTGCCAAAAGAAGAGGATAAAATAGTAAATATAAATGTAAAACAATATGTGGGCCCTTTTGAAAACAGACACACACCTTTTGGGCCCTGAAATACAAATCATGAGAATATAGTATTTTATTATGAACATGTAATGGACTTGATAACTAATAAAAGATGAAAGAGATCACATGTTGCAAAATTGCAGTTGATGAAATTACTTGTAGTTAACAGGTTGCGCCCAAACTTCAAGCCTGTCAGCTTCATGCTGGCATAACATTAAAAGTAGCTGCTTCCTCTTATCTCTACAAGCTGCATAGTTCTCCATTGGTCCCCAAACAGGGTGACATTGATCCTTCTGAGATTGTTCATTGTTAATAAAAAATCATAAAACACAACATGCAGGGCCGGTCCTAAGGGTTTTGATGCCCGGGGCGAAAAAAGCTTAATGATGCCTTACGTTTGTTTATTATATATAAAACCAACTCATTTATACTCCATTTAATTTGAACAGAAAATATTATATGGAATAAACACTAGCATGGAGCAGCTGAAAGTACTAAATTATAACACATCAGAATCGAAAAATACAATGAAAACTAAAAGACTACTGCAAACAAACAAAACTATAAATGAAAATGGTCTTTCAAAATTTTTAATAAAGATAGTTATGTCACCCCTAATTTGAAAGGCGCAGGAAGATTCACCGCCTATAAAATTTAATCTTGTTGCACCTGATGAAGAGCCAAAGGCAAGATTGTCTAATCACCAAACTTTTCATGAGGAAGTCCGTCAGAAACAACAGAAAACAACTGCACCCAAGGTATAACACTAGTTTTCATATAAATAAATTAAAAATGTTAAGACTAAATTGCATTAACATTAAGATATCAAGTCTATCATGAAACTCATTTGTCTTCTCCATTTAGTCAATCTCTGCTACTGAATAAATGTTCAGCACAGACAATTTTAATAGTTTCTTCTTTTATGCGTTCAACATGTTTTTAAAGTAAAAACTAATGTTAAATGACATCCATATAAGTCCCAATAGTCTATTAAATTGAAATTCTGATATTGAAAAAAGTAATTAATTAAAATTCATTGTTGCAAACAATCAAACAAATGAAAAATAAATAAAACATAATGTGCCAAAAACATATGCTAGATAAACATACATTTGATGGCTTAAACAATAAAGTAACATAAAAATGTATAACAAAACTAACACTACATTTACATACTGTACCAACAAGATTAAAAATAATTTAATGATATATTATTAAGGGGAAAAACAATTGATTTGCTTACTTTGCTAAACGAATATATACACTAAATCTCAGTTGAATAAGTTAGCCTTTAGCATCTTTGAGTATAAATTGAAGTTAAACATTTTTTAAGTAAATCTCACTTATATCATTAGCCTACCATAACACACAGCCGATTAGCAAATGTATTTAAAAGCTGAAAAATGAATAAAAAATTGTATAACTTTAAGGCTTACAAACTTGGAACGGCGAGAAGTATTATAAAAAACAATTAACAATGTGCCATGAATTTAGGGCATTTTAAAATACAGAGAAAGTCGTCTTACCTTCGGTTGGCCATCGGATGACAATTCAATTGAGGCAAAATTGACACCGCATTAAGGCCGCTACTTTGATACCGTCGAAAGAAGCACCAGGCAGCAACGATGGTAATTAGGTTGCCGTCGATGACTCAGTGAGGTAATAAGAAAGAAAACTAGAAATTTAGGAGGATACCTTCTTACTGATAAGAAGAAAATTAGAAATTAGGAATTAGATCTTGAGTGACAAGCGACCACTGCCAGCCATAAATACTCGAATACCTTCTTATTTCCAATCGTCTCTTCGTCTTCTTCAACCAGTTGAATGCATTCTTTTAGCCGCTAAAGAATTGCTGCCATCTGTTTGGCATTTCAACACTACAATATTTTTGTGCGATCAAACTTTTGGCACAAGTGATACCCATAAGAGTTGGACAATATCTGATGCCCCATGGTATATTGTTGCCCTGGGCGACGGCCCAGCTCGCCCTGCCTTGGGCCGGCCTTGACAACATGATAAATAGCAATATCGGTGTCTTACCATGTCAAGAAAAGATCCCCCATATTCCCCACCCAGTGCTTTTGGATCGTTTTGGAGATAGTGAACAAATGAATTAACAGATTGAGCCTCGATGTGTGCAAAATTTCCATGATCATGTTCAAACCATTCAGGTTCGTAAGCAAACCAGCCTAATGCAGCCCTGCAGTTGGTTTCAGTTTTCCACTTCAGAATTTAAATTAAAATAAAAAATGTTATATTTTGAAGAAAGACGAGTTGAATGTAATACCGATAAATCCCATCTTCCAGCAGCTGAATTCCCAATCTAACATTTTGTAGGCTCCCTTCATACTGGCATGTGCAGAATTTAAGTCCAAGTAGCATGACTGTGAAAAACGTACCAGCAGCAGCTGGATGGTGTGAAAATTTCCATGGAAGTTTGGTGGTCCCCTGTAACATCCTGCCAAGAAGCAAGAGTTGTACCAGACTATCATGTCGTATTACCTGTAAAAGCAAAGAGGAAAGATAAGAGAAGAAAAAAGTGAGTAATCTATAGCTACGTAACCATGTTGAAGGTACTTGAAGAAGGTCTGTAAGAACCCTAAAAGCTCTTTCAGATTAGGGTTTTCTTTCTTTCGTATGTAACCCTAACTGATTTCAAAGGAGCGTTAAAGTGTAATAACCCACCCATATGCATAATCGACATGATCTAACCAAGAAAGATGAAACAGAGCAATCGTTGAAATAAAAGATGAAGGAAAATAGACCTGGGTAAGAAGGCGAGCCCTTTCTTCCTCGAACAAAAATTTCAAAATAGATGCCTGATTCAAAGGCCGCGCGCTTTCAGCGAGAAATTGGTGGGTTTACGAGAGAGGGAGAGGGAAGAGATTTCTTGAAGGGGAACGAAACCGCGAGAGAGCTCGATCAGATCCTGAGATGTTTAGTGCAAAAATGAACTATATAACCAGGTTGTAGACCGGTGACTGCAATTATATGTAAGTTTGATCAAATCGAGATCTTGGGAAAGGTCAATTACGAGGATCCGAAGAGGAATTTGAGATCTGTAGCCTATGGATGCTAATGCAAACGTGATGATGATGACCAAAAATCTTGATTTCTCTCGCTAAATTCTTAGTTCAATCCGAGCTAGGGCTTGTAAGGCCCTAAATCGCCGGCGCTGTGTAGGACGAGAAGCGGTAAGGTCCTAAATCATCGGCTCTAGGATATAAGTAGATGGAGCATGTAAGTTCTTCACACTTTCAATCATAATTGTAACCCAATCGTCGGCTCAAGCATAATTGTAACCCAATCATTGTCACTCAACGCGAAAATATGCGATTTTGGAATGGCGGAACTCTATGGCGAAACCGATAGCAGCTTGTACGCTTTCGGAGTTGTACTTCTTGAGATATTGTCAGGTGAAGAAGGAAAGTGACGAACGAAGGAAGGAGTGTCGATAACTAGGCAAGGCAGCAGTCGAATCTATGGAGGGGGAAGAAAGGATCGTAATTAGGGCAAGAAGGAAACAAAAGTGGAGGATAAAAAAGAAGGCGGGTGTTCAAAATTTTAGGGATTTCATTTTCCCCCCTATCTACTAAACTCACTTTTCATTAAAATTATAAAGTGACACTCATAGAGGACGCTCATTTAAGATACAGTGCCCTCCGTGTTTTTAATTTTTTCTCGTATGACGCTAATTTAAGGGCACACAATAATGCGTGACCTAAATCCTTCAATTTTTTGAAGAGATGACGCTTTTTTAACATCACTCTCCATTGCGTAACATAAATCAATGAGTGTCGTGGTTTGCGCGTCGTAAAAGGCTATTTTTCTTGTAGTGAACTGAGTGCAACAATGCGATACTATTTTGCCACACACAATTCCTTTCACAGTACAAGCTGGTACCAACACAACACGACCCGAGAATGGGATAGATGGTCACACTCTTGTTACAATTCAAAGGCTATAAACCAAATAAGGACCATACATATAGTTCGAACCAAATGCTCCATTTCTACCTTGTTCAACCCACATACACCCCTCACAAAAATATCTAATGAACTAACCCCAATACACACCCTTAGGGAACGCATAACCTTACTCAAAAGGGCGAATTACCAAAGTTCTAACAAAATGAAAAACCTCAATCGTTAACAGACAACAACGTCATGAACGATCGAAATGAGATCCTATACCTTGATTTAGACCGAATAGACCCAAATTGATACATTAGTGTCTTAATAATACTTCTAAGGTTATCCAGAAATGCTGCTTATACTTTAGTCAGATCCATCCAAATACCAACCCTGCCTGCACAACATGCCAAAAATAAGATTCCACACAGATCTATGTTCCATCTTGGAAAACTAAGCAACACTATACCATATTCCAGACTCCTAATAACCAACGACATCTTTCAAACTTGACGATAGGTTGATGAATCCGTTGAACCTCAACTAATATAGCTCAAAACTTCCGAAGAATCTCCACTTTGATGATGTATGAAATGACCAATAATCGATAATGCATCGACACCTAATCCAGTGACCCAAAACCCATGCAGAGCAGAACATACACATCTCTGAAACTGATTTACTAATTAACAACTACCCAATATAGATTGTAAATAGTAATCGATACAATAAGTTGCCAAGTCCCTCAACAACCGATACCCAACTTGAGGGATCCTATCGCTTTCTCATCTGTTCATTGGCATCCCATAAAGGAATCAATGGCTACAACGAGCTCCTTGACCAACTACTTCCTGCTATGAGGCAAATTGTGTATTTCATGGACACATACATCCAATATCCACTTGCTCTACACCTATGACTTGAACAAGTCTTAAACCAAAATCCTGCATACCCGTACTAGAGATCCCTATGAACCATTCTTCCGACACCACAAACTTAAGCATATCGATGATCTTGCAAGCAGAGCACCTAGTTCTCCCCTAATGAGGGTTCGAACTACCACTCATTGGTGTTGTAACCAAACCATATCCCAAACTGGCTGAACTAGGTACAAACCATCCCTGACTCTTGGAATGTATAACACAGTCAAGATGATCTTCCAGATAAGGACCAAGGAAACCTTGAGAGATTCTGAATTTTAGATGAAGACCTTAGAAAAATTTCCAATCATAACTACCTTTAACATTAAGGATTTCATGCAAATGCATAAGCAAAACACCGAATTACTATCCAAAATATACACTCTTTGTTTGCAATCCCAACCGTCAATCCGATGACCTGCATATATCCAAGGAACATAGAACCCTGATTACATCACTAAGCATCCATAGCACACCAATCCTCCTGTGTATTCCCACATTGTAATACTGCCGCCAAACACCGCAACCAACTAGCCCCATGTTGGGTTTACATCCCAACTCTGAAAGTCACAAACCTGCTCACTCCTTCTCTGAAAACTGTCAGGACATAATCGTTGCCATAGATAGCAACATTCCAACCAATCAACCAACCACTTAGCTTCCAGCTATAATCCTCAAGCCGATCATAACAATTGTTTCTTTCTTGAGTCCCGCGACTCAAATGTACGACCTAGAGTAAGGCCCTTGAGACCTCAAAACCAAAAGCCTCACCCAGGTTTGCACCATTCAAACCTAAACTAGCATCGCTATTGAAGCCCGAAAAAATTACTAGACCTATCCACATGCCCGAACAACCATAGCCAAAAGATCGACAAATATAGAGCCACTGCCATGAATAGAGGTATCAAACCATGCTATCTCCTCGACTAGCCCTTAAAATCCCTAAAATTTTCCTCGATTTAAGTATGGATCATGTTCTTTGTTAGGAAATAAATTTGTGGTTTATACTTTACTTTTCAAGACTTTTATAGTTCTCGGTTTTGGACAGCAATCTCTATGATCTTGGTGGTGTTTGGATCGAAATCACCATGTGATTTTGGTTGGGTTATTGGGTTGGGCCTTTGTAACTAGGTATTATGTATAAAATGTTTGTTATCAGCCTATTCTAGGGTGGTTGTTTTTTTGGAGAACAGAGAAAGAAAGAGAGAACCAAGAGTGTAATTGTGGATCTTATGTACTAGACTATTATCAATATAGTGTGCATTAAAGATTCATAATGGTGTTCTTATTTTATATTTACGATTTGTGGCATTCACTTGATTGGGATTCCGCACCAATTATAGTGATTTCGATTAATAAATTTAGATAGGGTTATACAATTGGTATCAGAGCTTTGATCGATATCAATCGATTTGGCAAAGTATTAAACATTTCTTGGAGTTTCTGGCATTTTTGATTTATTTTGACGAAAAGTATTGCTGTTTGTTTTTCGCGTTCTTCATTTTTTTTAGAATTTTTGATCGAATTTGGTTTGAAAATTTGAAAATTCCTTGTTTTTTGGCAACTTCGGTCTCAACTTTGGGAGTTCTCGGCGGCAAACCTCATCCTCAGTTAGGGTTTTAGGAGTCTTCGGTGGCCAACAAAGTGACTTCGGTTAGGGTTTGAGAGTTCTCGGCCAGCTCCTTGGTTGCACCTTCGTTCTCAGTCCCTATCTCGCAGTTCTCGGTGGGAGCACCTCGTTCTTGGTTAGGTCAAACAAGTTATCGATACTACTTAGAGTCTTCGGTCAACATCTTTGTATTCGTCAATGTGTTCGTTTTGTGTTTTCGGTTCGCGTCTTCCACTTCGCATTCTCGGTTAAGTTTATCGGATTATTAAGATATCAGCCAAGGTTCTCGGTCAGCATTAATTCAACAAACTATTGATGTTTTCAATCAAAATCTATTTACACAATCAGATTCCTTTCATTGGTAAATAATGAGATCCTACAACAATACCAAGAAGGTAAGTGAAACCCCATGCTCTCAGGCCTGTGAAGATAAAATAAATAAATACCGTGAGCATAATGAGTTATTAATTAGGGAAATTGAAGACCTTAAATATGAAGGATATACTCTCAAAAAGGCCTAAAAGCCCTTAAAAGAAAAATTAGATTCCCAAACCAAAGATCTAAAAACAATTAAGGAAGAATACAACACTAAATGTGAACACTATGATTATGCTCAAGAAAAGATTGCCAATCTAACTGCCGAGCTTGACACATTGTAAATTTGATTTGAAAATGAAAATTTTAATTTAAAAAAAAATTGATATTTCAAATAAGAAAGTTGAGAAAATTATTGAAAAGCAAATTAGATGGAAAGAAAAAAAGAATGTAGGTCTAGGGTATGATAGTGTTCCTCCTATATTCAATGATAACTACACTTTTACTCCTTTGACCGAAGAAGAAATATAAAGGGAAGCACATCTATAGTATGGAAAACCTACTATACTTGAGACAGTAAATAATGATAGTGTGATTGATACTAATGCTTCTACCTCGTATGCAGATAAAGTCTCAGTGCAAGATAGGCATGAGTAGAAGAAATATAATTCTAGTTCTGCTGAAAATGATTAAAAAAAGTGT